GGAGGGGACGTGCCGTTAATTTCTCTCTTGCTCTCTTTCTCTGAAACACATATACACACACATATATACACAAACAAACATACATAAACATACACACATACACACGCACTTACTACCACACAAACACACATATACATAAAAAAGGTTCAAGGGAAAAAAAAAGAAAAAGGGCAAAGGAAAAACATAAAGTGAGTGGGCGAGCATATTTAAGCCATCGAGATCTTTGGCGATTTCGCATTTTGTTTTCGATTAAGCAAAGGCCCTGAAAATTTGTAGCCATGTACCCTACATGCTACCAAATGCAAACAAAACAATTCACAAAAACGTAAAATGTTTTGGGCCCTGAAATGATATTTGGACGATGGCACATTTGGACGGACACCCGAACATTTATCGGGGGGTGGAGGACCCCCCCGAACGTTCGCACGTTATAGTGCACTTACGAGAATAGATTCGTACGTGGTGCCGTATGGATCGCCTCGCAAGAAAGTGTTAAGTTACTGTTAACCATATGATTAAAATCGTAAGGAAATATCTATGCATGTGACAGGCATCCATAGTCAGAGATCGTATATCACATAGTGACCTTACATCCTGTGTAGCATCATGTTCGGGTTCGGTGACCGAACCCGAACGTTCGCAACCGAACACGAACGAACGTCAAAACCTCCCGAACGCGAACATAAAAAAAAAAAAGTTCTCAAAAAAATCTGAAACAAATATATGTTATGTAAAATAATAAAAAAAATAACTTTTTCCTTAGGGGTATGCTCAAATTCGTAACCAAACTCGAGTTAAAAATCAAAAACCTGTTTTTTTTCTTCTTTTATATGTTCGGCCGAACACGTTCGGGGGGCGTTCGACCGAACACCCGAACATGTTCGGACGTTCGGAAAAGCTCAGAACATGTTCGGTGTGCTACACAGCTTGCATCAAGTTGCGCGATAAAAATCCATAGGATGACCACCATTTTAGTTTGAAGACCTATAATGTCCTGTGTGTAATCATTCCCAGCTCGTGCCGTGGAGACCTAGTCCTTCCTGAAGGACAAGGTCAAACAGTACCTAAAACGAATCGAATATATCATTTAGCAATCATCGACTAACCGACAGAGGTCTGATTCCCAACTACTCTGGTTGCTTTCGTATTATTGAACTCAATTCAAACCATATCACCACAAAGCGCCTTGCTTCAGAGGTTGGGAGAAGCTATAGGTCCTAGCCATTCCTCTTCCCCTCCTTTGTCTCATTTATTTCCTTCTGCCATACTTTTTGACTCCTCTCTCTCCTTTGGAGAATGCAAATTTTCCAACTCGACACTTCCTTTCAGCACATTCTTACCACCACCAGGATAGAGGCCTTGTACAAAGGGCCTGTTCAAAAAAAAAAAAAAAAAAAAAAAAAAATCAAGATTTGAAACCGGATCAGAATGAGGATCAAGATCAGAACTAGAATTAAGATCAAGAACGAGATCAAGATGAGAATCAGGATCAGGATTGCAATCGGGATCAGGATCCGGAGCAAGATTAGGATCAAGGTTGCGATCGAGATCAGGATCCGGAGCAAGATCAGGATGAAGGTTGCGATCGAGATCAGGATCCGGAGCAAGATCAGGATTGAGATCAAGATCAAGACCGGGATCGGGACCAAGATGAAGATCATGATCAGGATCGGGATCAGAATCAAGATCAGGAGTATGATCACGATCAGGGATATCATCAATGCACAAGGGCGCGCAGAGCAAGGGGAGGATTGCGCACAACTGCGCGATGAATAGGCTTGTCATCATTATCATCATCAAACGACCATTTCGTCAGAATGGACTTTTTTTTTTTTTTTTTTTAACGAAATTGAAACGAAGTTTTTTTGTCGAAAACTCGTCAAAATTTGTTCCTGAAGGTCCAACGTTTTTGAAACATTGGACCCCCTGGCTGTACAAGGACCTAGCTTGAGACCAGGTGCATCCAGACAGTCCTGCTTGGATGTACATGGTCTCAAACTAGGTCAATGTACAACTAGAGGGTCCAACGTTTTACAAACGCCGGACCCTCAAGAACAACAAATTTTGACGAGTTTTCGGCCAAAAAACTCGGTTTCAATTTCGTTCAAAAAATAAAAGATGTCAAGTTTGACGAAATGGCAGTTATCATCATCTGCGGCGCGCAAGGCCGAGTGGAACAAGGGGAGGATTGCGCACAACTGCGTGATCACGAGGCCCGTCGTCATCATCATCATCATCGACGGGCAAGGGCTCGCAGAGCAAGGGGAGGATTGCGCACAGTTGCACAATCGCGAGGTTTATTATCATCATCGTCGCCATCTCATCATCGTCATCGTATCATCATCATCCACAGAGGTTGGATATCTTGCGCATGGGGGAGCAAAACGGGAGGACGATACGATCTTGACAACCACTTGATCATCATCAACAACACCATCGACATCACCGTCATCTTCATCGACATCAGTAGAGTTGCAGGCACGCGGGAATCGCCGTTAGCAGCTGCAACAGCTGAATCACACACACGTGCGCACCAGGGATGTCAGGCGGTTAGCCCCGCGGTCGAAGCTGGGGTAGGGGTTTCACCCCCAAAACCCCGCCGCTGGGCCCGCCGAACCCCGACCCCCGACCTCCAGGCCCGCACCCGCCCGAACCTCACAAGCCCCGCACCCCCGGCCTCACGCCCACCATGCCCCCACCCGCACCCCCGCGCGGCAACCCCTCAGCGGATCCCCGCCCCCTCATGCTGATGCCCACACCCCTGCCCCTCGCCCCCGCCCCGCAACCCCTCCTCACACCTCGGCCTCGCACACCCAGCTCACATCTCGAACTTCGCCATGCGACCCCCCCAACCGCACCCAGACCCCCGCCGCCCACTAGTAACCCCGCCGCCCATCCGCACCTTGCTGCCACTCG